TTGACAATTTCTAACAATAAGGGGTGCTATATAACACACTTTTATGAAAAGTCAAAGACTTTAGGACTTAATATAAAATATTTTATTTAAACAAAGATACAGCGCTGTACCTGTAGCTAGGCAGGAAGTTACTGTTTTCACTTTGAATGGAACCTGGTTAGCATTTTCCTACAGTTTACAGCCTCTGAGGTTAAACAAACCCTTGAGATGAAGGTAATATTAGTTTTCTAATCTGAATGAAGCAGAATTACCTATTTTTTCAAAATCTTGGACTATTCCTTTACAGTATTAGATTTAGCATCACTGATTTTCAAGGTCCTTCACCTGTGTTTTTCAAGTCTTAACTTTGGAAATTCAGCTTGCCAAAACACTTTAGGAGTTTTGGAATGAAGCATTTCAGTTGCTTGGAGCCTCCGTTCATCCACAGCCTTACAGTGTTTAATAATTAAAGCCAGGGAGACCATCTGATATATTACAGCAAAGCTCAATCTTCTAGTAAATAAAATACCTTGTCAGCTGTATACTTGTGGTAATGTAGTAGTAAATATAAAGGTGAGTAAACCTACAGTCAAACATTATTATAAATGACATAGCCTATTTGTCAGTTTAACTAAAAAGCGTGATATTTTTAAAAGTGCAAACTTGGTATGGTTAATATTTATGTCAGACTAAATAAAATACAAAATAAACTGGGGACCGTGCATTCAGCCCTGACTACGTAACCATGTATGACTGGATCTTAAGCTGCAGGCTCTAAAATAGACCACAGATTGTTATTAAGCTTCAAAACCAGAAAAGGATCAGCTGAGACTATTCAATATTCCACAAAGCTTGCTAAGAAAGGTGATATTTAGTTGTTTTTCCTTGGTGTAGGTGATACAGGGTATAGCTTGCAGTCTTCTCTACTTTAAATCATGCTTGTTAGCAAAGTGGTGCCTCTCCCATTTTACGTAAGACTTCCCCGACGAGCACACTCATTACTGATAAGGGCAACCTGACATGGAGCCTGAGCTACAGTAACATTGCTGAGCAGCACTAGACGCAGACACACATATACAGACTTTCCCTACATCAAAGAGAGCGACAGGGAGAAAAAGCTAAGGGATAGCACTACTAAGGGAGAGTCTGACACAGAGAAGACTCTGTGTTTAAAAGGAGGATAAGCACAAAAAAACCCACCAGCATTAAGTAAGTTTTCTTTTGGGCCTTATAAAGAAAATAATAAAGGATACAGGGACACAAGACATGAAACAGAGGGAAATGATATAGGATATATATTCTGAGAAATGGTGACCGAAAAAATCAACAAAAGAGGGTTGTGGTGGAAAGAAAGGAAGCCATAAAGAGAAAAACCATGAAGGTGAGTCATGAGACACCTGAGTCTAAGATCAGGCCCAGATAGAAATAACAGGCTTCCTGCTGCCCTTTAAATCCTTTTAGGAAACAGAGATTAAGCCCACACACGCACACATGTTGACATATACTATATGCAGGCATTCTCAACCTACAATTCCCATGGAAAGACAGACATAACTTCAACTAAGTAGATCCCATAAAAACTAAATTGTCATATGCACACACATATTGCAGTAATGAAAAGTCATCCAAACAAGCAACACACCCACAGCATGTAAGCTCACACCAACCTGCCCAGTATGCATCATACCAAACCAACTACCGAACGGTCTTTCAAATAAAGCATACTGTTCGGTTCCCACTCACACACTCAGGTACACACACTGTGACCCACTCTCATGCGTCAGCAATTGAACCCCCTACTGACAGCCGACATTATGACAGCGAATGACACAGAAGCGAGGCACACTAGTTAGGGGGTAGATGACTCAACCAAGGTGTTTTGTACGTGAGTGTGTGACTTCTACAGCCATATTCCTCAAGGTACTGCAGTTTAAGATTGAACTACTTCTATTGTAGTTCAATTATTAATTGTATTTAGTGCTAGACTGGTCTAAAATTATTCATCCTTCTTCTAGCTAGGCCTACATCATTCTTAAAAACAAAACTGAGCAGACCATTCTGGCATTAAAACAAGATGATGTTGAAAGTATTAATCTATATCAGTGGCTTGGATGCCCATTTCTTCAGCATAATTACATTTCCCCCCCATGCTTGGCCTCAATTAAGTGATTGTGCAGTTCAGCTCCTCATTATCCCTGCAAGCGGGTGCAATTAAGAGCTGAAGAAAACTTAAAAGAACTCCAGTCTTTAATAGTGCTGTCACTACTGTAAACAAATGGCGGCCATCTTGTTTTACAATGCTACTGTAGCTGTGGGGCAGGGGACAGTTTCATTAATAATGTCTAACATGCATTATTGCACTGGATAGCAACAAATAAATGCACTCCTATCTGAAGTGTCACAACAATATAAGAGTATATTTAATATTTTTGTGATAACACAACTACACAAAACTACAATAAGGGCATGGACAACCAAACTAACATTGACAAGAATGTCATTCTAGCTTTTCAATATGCAGTAAAGTGGCAAAAAGTTAATGAAGGAACTAAAAGAAAGTAATGGTATAGTAATGGTATAGTTAGGTATAGAAAGTATATATTTATTCAAGTTGAGTCAATAAAAAGTAAAAGTTAATTTCCCATGTAGCATTTCCTGTACATAGTCGGTACATTAGTTTCACTTGCTGTTACAGAAGTCTCCTCAGGGAGCCAGAAATACACAACAGATTACTAAAGACATACTTAAACCACCAGCTAACAAAGTAGCTAACACGTGAAGCCTGCATAGAGCAGCTGGTTGACAAACATGTGATTGTGAATCACATGACCATGTCAAGTGGATGCAATCACACATCATACTGTAAGTGACTTATGGCTTATGCATAGCTTATAATTTTCAATGAATGTGTAAGACTGTGTATGAGTGGCATATAGACAATAACTAGGATACTTCACATGGAATATTAAGTGGGTGTAGCATATGTGAATATGTTTTCCCTGCATGCTGAGAAACCACTCAACTGAAAGCACTTTTTGGCTTCCATTCCCATAATATACTGATCCTACACCATAGAGTACCATCTGTTCTGTGCAACTCAGCACAGTCTTGTGATGTTGCTTCCATATGAGACAAAACACCACGGTAACACCAGAAAACCAGTCCCCACACCTCGGAAGATAAGCAGGCCAAATGTATTTGGTTTCCACGTCATCATTAGGCAAGCTAAGACGATGAATGGGCACTCTCTGATATGCACAAACACACATAAGCAATCATACAAGAATCACATAAATCATACAAACATGCATTCAGTTTCACAATAAAATAATACTGTCAATATGAAGACGTTTTTGCATTGTGTATAGACAGTATACACACAAGCACAGGTCACACAAACACTCATACTGTATACCCACACATGCAGAGTATTCAGTTTCAGAGTCAAGTGTCAATTGTTTGAAGTGCTCTTGGGTGATGAGACGTCCACATTTAAACAACCTAATTTATCTTCACATTTCATGCCGCCCTCTCTACTAAAGAAAGCTTTATAGTAATGAGGCTGGTGTTTTAGAATGCAGCATAATTGACCACATCCATTCAATCAGTTGTCAAACGTGCAGATGTCATCACAGTGTCTATTTGGGGCAAACGAAAGTACTTAGTACAACTAACAACCATATAGTCTCCTTTCAGAGAACTTTGCTAGATGCTTGTGGAAAAAAACACAGAGCTGAAAACTCTACCGCTCTAGTCCTGATGGTATCTTTACAGTGACCTATTTCAATGAAACATCTAAAGGATGTTTGCAATCTATTTATATACGATAGAATGCATAAATTACCAGTAGGTGCAGTGTACTGAAAA